TGGAATGTAAGATTGTATTGCAATCAAATAGTCGTCTTCAAATCACACCACGGCTCTTGTCAATGGCCAGAAGTCTCGGAAAAGTTTGTGTGGGACTACTCCCAAGCATTTTTGATAGCAGTTCCTGAAAAACTCTGCGAAGAGTAGAAAACGCGCCAGCCCTCGAGTTGGGGCGGAAATGGGAGTTGTGAAGGGATGGGGTAGGTGCAGGGGAAGGGTGTGAGGTGATCAGTAAAGAAAAAGGGAGAATCTTAATCTCAGAAGAGGGTGAGTGAGGTGACACCTCAAGACCAGAGAGATTTGAAGGTTGGACAAGGGCACCAATGAGTATTCATAGTTCCATTTGGACTCTGGTTTACCAATAGCTTTGGTAATCAGAACCCAAGAGTTCTGACCATTCGTCATTTCTTCACAGTGCAGCGCATTGCACTTTATTGCAGCTCTGCTATCATTTTCAGGGAGCCAGTTTATCCTCACGTCTGTCTGTAAAAAGCGGAATGGAGAGTAATAGATAAACATGCAACACGGAGAAGGTTTCAATGCTTGCGACTGTGTTTAGCCGGCTTGCTGCAAGTAGAGCGAATGTTGATAAGTATGTAAGCGCAACTGCTCCTAATTAGCTAGACGGAACTCAGTAGCATGTTGTACCGCTTACTTCGCCTAGTGTAGGGTAGCTCCCGTGTAAGATATTGTCCCCGTCAATAAAGTCTTTCGTCGAAGAGGCAGGCTACTTAGTTCCACACACAACTAAAGTAGAATTCCAATTCACACACAGGCTGACCCCCGGAGGTCGCCATATCTTTACTTGTGAGACTGCTAATGGAGGTCCATATGTGGACATCCTGAGAGGGATTAGTCAACGCTTAAGCATTGCGCTGATTCCCTACCTGAGCTTTTCATTGCAATTGTTAAGAACTACTGTAAGGACTGTAGTTGCTACTTATTTCGCCAAATTTGTAGCGCCTATAACTTTTTCAGCAGGTAAATCTCGAAAACGGTATGGCTGGCGGAATGAATTGAAATGTGAAAGTTACAGCAATAAGGACGTTTGAAAAGTTTTTATGCAATGTTTTTGTTTTTGTAATGTTTTTTTTTTCAAACAAACTACCAAAGGAGTTTCATCAATTTCTATTCAACATGTTCCTTGCACAAGGCTGCTTAACTGAGGTCAGATTGAAGGTTCAAAAAATCGCTCACGGTGGCACTGTTCAGCCTTCTTTGCATAAATGTGCTGTACGTGGTCATAGAAGACGTAAAAGCCCGAAGCCGTTCATGTCCACGCTTCCAATAACTTTGCACGTTTTGGCTGCCTACCAGCGGCAACCGCCCGTTGGTCCCGTCGGTCAAAGTCCAACCAGGGGTATCGTATTTGGCCGATAAATAGGGGGAGGTGATCGCATGCGCAGGAGTCTGCGTCACAGTGCGCGGAGATCACCATGAGGATGGTTAATGCTATAGGGGGCCTGAATGTGTGAAAATCGTCACTGGCTAAGAGCGCGATGGAAATGACGAGATGTTGGACTGGTGATATTAATGCTCGCAGCGCTAGATTTGGGATACAGCATCAAACGGCCGCAAAGGTGCATCTATAGGAGGCCTCCAATGAATTAATAACACTTTGCTGAAAGATTACAAAACCGCCTGCTTCCACTGAAAATTGATTAGCACCTACCTATCATATCAGCATTCTATCAAAAAAAAATTCATAGCGACCTTTTACACCGAAGATTTTAGACGAATTTCCTAGGGGACATGGTGCACGGTTCGAGCTCCACAAGGTCTTCGACGTCCAGCACACCACTGACGATATCTGAAGGGCTGGTCGGAAGATCACGCAGAGCTACAGTGAAAGTTATGCATCAGTAAAATGATTGAAGAAATCAGTGTAGCAGCTTCGGACTGGAGCGATTGAAGTAGCCCTTGTTGAATTGTGACAGATAATGTCATGTTCAGAAGGCGGTGAAAGAGTACCACTTCCTGCATACGGAGCGACATCTAAGCAATATTTCGCATCAAAATTTTACAAACTGCCCTGTGTGCGACAAAAAAAATTGGTAATGTGCGCAATGGGCGAGGTAACTTGCTTTGCCTCCTCCTTGTATGTTCAAGCAATAATTGTCACGGGGGGTCATATCGAGGCAACCAAGGCTCTCTAAGAGGAGGGGTTATAACGATTTGTAATCGGACCAAGGTGAGGTTGGCCCTGCTGCCCACCGCAAGCAGTTGTACCAGTTTTGGGGCGGGAACTCGAATTTCCGATAGTCTACTTAGCTATTTGGATTATTATCAAACAGGAGAATTGTGTTCTGTTCTTTTAGCTAATGCCATGAAGCAAGGAGGCTTCATGATGATACTTCATGGCATAGGCGAGACTGAACAGAGGACTTCCCATAAACGATTCCCTTATGAAATACTTATTTTCTTATAGTGAAATGGTGAATTCGCAGAATCAACTCAACTAAAATTATGCATTTTACATTTGTTATAATATTTCACATTTTCACTCAGTCAGTGTATCTTATTATGCAACTTTCTTAGAATATAGGTTTACCAGATTGGTCCCCCGTCAACCGCCGGGACGTTGCTTCTCTGTGTATGCTTCACGTCTTCCGCTGTGGTGTTGCCACTTGTAATGAGACTGAATGTGCTCGATCGGTGTTTATATAGCCGCTGTAGGTGTTATCATAATCATGACATCAACATCACGAAGTGTTAGCCCTTCGAACTCCCTGGTTTTGTTAGCGGTTGGTCCGGACGGACAGAACGACACACACAGACAGACCGACACACAAAAGTTGTGGCAGGGGGGGGGCAATAAAAAAGACATTTTGTCTCCAGACTCAAATGGATTTAATCACACTTTGCTCAGCTCAAAGCGTGTGCTCCCAACTTAGAATTGAAGAGCGCATTTCATTTCATAAGAAAATCTTCATAGTGGCCATCTACGTGGACGGCATCAGAAAAGTTTGCCCCGGAAACATGGTGCTCTGGTCGAGCTCAATGGGGTTCTCGACTGATCGTGTACCGTTACGACGGGTTCCGAAGGGCGGGTTCCGAGGGGGTTTGCATAGTTAGAGCTAATGTCCCTAGGAAACTATCCCACGTTGAATCGATCCAAGAAATTATGTAAGAGCTTCAGGCTGAAGCAGTTACTGTAGGCCTCCCTGAGCTCGACGACGGTGACAGATGACGTCATATTCTGAAGACGGTGAGGGTAGTGAAGGAGGGCCTGCGTGTACTTATAGAGGGACATTTAGGGAATATTTTGCTGAGGAACTTCCGTCAACGACGGCAATCTCTGCGAAGAAAAAAGGCCGAAGTGCGACCTAGCAAAATGTCTTTTTTTGGTCTCCCCCCTATATACAGGGTGGGCCAAAATAAACGCATAGTAGCTCGAAGGAAAAACAAACTTCAGGTCAGTGTTTGTAACTCCTGTGTCGAAGCAAATCCGGAATAGAATTGAGATCTGCCACCTGTCGAGTTTACACAAGCCTTCAGATGAAGGGATGGCGCGTGCGCTGACCATGCAACTAACCATAAGGCGTGTCCAAAATGTTTCCAGCCTTCTGCGCTGTCTTTCTTCGCAAGGATTGAGGTTGTGAGCGTTGGGGATGTGGGACGTATACGCGCTCACCTCCACGGTGTTAATTGGGGCTTATTAGGTGGAAGGATCCAATGTAGTAATTCTTGGAAAGCAGTGAACTTGAAAAATTGGTTTTTAGGGGATTTTTACTTTATTCTTGGGTGCTCGGTCCTGCAAGAAGTTCTAAGTAAAGTACTCAAGTGGCTTTCTATCCACTACAGATGTGGAGTCTTTAGTGTCTGGCTGGGTTTTCACATCGATTTTTTCATTTTGGGAGTACGAAAGTCGACAAGGGGAGAGCTAGTTTCTGCATCTGATAATTGTCCTGGTGGTAACTGTAACTTTCGAGTCTCCGAATTTTCCATCTGTGGTGGTTCCAAACTTATTGAAGAGTTGAACTGTTGCTCATAAGGGCTTCCCTGATAGGTTAGACTGCTGCTAGATGTAACGTGCCAGAGCCCCTAGTGAGTTCAATTTGAGGACTGACTCAAAGTGAAGTAGTTATTTCCCTAGTTTTGAGAACTTCAAAAAATTCGGTTCCGTTAGGAAGAAGA